GCTTTCTTAGCTATGGAACAGAAAAAAAATACCAGTATCAGGGCAGGAAATATTACCATAGGCTGACAACTTTCATTACTCTTCCAAACCTAGCATTTGGATCCACCAAGAAAGAGAACGGATAGATAGATACCTGCGTGGGTTTAGCTATTGTTCAGGGCCATTCTCTGCCAGAAGTCAGGAGCTATATCCAGGGAAGTAAATTAACCCTATGGGATAAAGCTATGTTTGCGTGGAGTTGGTGAACAAAAGTTGTCCGTAAAGGAATTTTGAGGAAAGAGGCTTTATTCCAGTGAACAGTTTTCAAACCTGGGAGTTGCAGACTTAGAGGAAGATACATTCCAGAGTGTAAAGGGAGGGCTCTGGTACTAAACAAGTTTGACTCTTCATTCAAGCTTGCTTAGTTCTGATTGGTCAATACAGCTGAGCTCTGGCTGATTAGTTGATACAGCTGAGCTCTCCTTGGCTGGTTCGGGTGAGTGCAGCACGTGGCAAAGCAGAGCAGAAGTGCGGGTGGTCTGGGGACCCAGGGTGACCCTCGTCAGCTGCAAATGACCGCATGGCTCTATTCAAAATGTAGGCCCAGTTGGCCATCCGGATGCCTCTTGGAGTGGCTTCTTCGGGTTCACCTTTGTTTACAGGTGCGAGAGAGGAAGAAACTCAAAAAGAGACAGCCTGACCAGCTCAATTTGACTGAACGCTGACGAAGAGCGCTGGGCCCTTTGAGCTCCAAAAGCGTAGGTGACCCAGAAGCACACAGGACCTAGGGTAGGGGGCGAGGACGATGGGGCCGGCCCTGCGGTTCCCAGCCACACAGGGAGGCAAAGCAAAGGCAGCCCGCGGGCGGACCAAGCTGCAGGGGCCGAGCGCGGGGAAGCCCAGGCCAGCCTGGAGAGGGTTTGCGGGCACCCGACCTCCAGTGCGGCCCCGGGGTGGGTCCCCATAGCCACCCACCAGTCCCCAGGTATAAGGACTGTCCGAAGAACCTCTGTCACGTCTGCCCGCTGGCGAGTTCCAAGTCAACTAAGGCAACAGCAAGGACGACACAACCACACACAACCACAACCACACACAACCACAACCACACACCACCACAACCACAACCTCCCTCTGAGCAGCTCAGGCTGCTTTAACCAACCGATTTGGAATCCAATCAAAATCCTCTGCTGCCGTCTAGCGACAAATACCGGGAAAGCAGAATATGATAAACTGTTTAAGAGGCAAAAAGTGATAGTCTAAATGTTTAAAAGTGCAAACCAGAAGAACGTGAGCATCCTGTGTTTGTGACTGTGCCTTGAACTGGGTCACTCCACACTTGCTAAGGGGCTGGTATGGGATGTGACAAGAAGAAAGTCGTCAAGGGGACTCCCAAGATTTTTGACTTGAGAAACTGAAAAGATAGAGCCGCTGTTAATTGAGATTTATTTATTTTTTTAAAAATGTGGGTGGAACGGATTTGGGCATAAAGATTAAAAAATCCAGTATGAAACATGCTAAGTTTGGAATATTTAAAAGGGGATACTTGCTAAACTGAAAAATAGTTATGCTGTATCCAGCTTAGCAAGTCTCCCCTTTTAACTCAAAGGATACAAAGTAGCAAATATGTGGGAGGAACAAGTCAAAAGATCTAACGAACAACATCAGTTTCTACAGTGTGTTGTGTTAAGGATTTTTGCTAAATCAGTAGATTACAGCTGCTCTTGCCACAGGCCAAAAAAGGGGTAACTGTGAGATGATGGATATGTTAATTTGTTCCACTATAGTAACCATTTCACTAGATACATCTTATAATATCCTGTTGAACACCCTAAATATACACGATTAAATTTATTTAAAAAAAAATTTAAATGGGCAGGGCGCGGTGGCTCACGCCTGTAATTCCAGCACTTTGGGAGGCCAAGGCGGGCGGATCACGAGGAGGCATTTGAGACCAACCTGACCAACATGGTGAAATCCCATCTCTACTAAAAATACAAAAATTAGCTGGGTGTGGTGGCATGTGTCTATAATCCCAGCTACTCTGGAGGCTGAGGCAGGAGAATAGCTGGAACCCGGGAGGCGGAGGTTGCAGTGAGCTGAGATTGTGCCACTGCACTCCAGCCTGGGTGACAGAGCAAGACTTCGTCTCAAAAAAAGACAAATAAATAAAAATGAAGCATGACTTGAAAACCAAAAAAATTATGCTGTGCTGTATTTGATGTGTTAAACATTGTCATGCCCTGTTATTTGGTGTAAATATGCCCATAATCCCCAGGATAAAAATATTGGAGTCCTATTAAGATTACTTGGACATTAGGTAATTGGATTGGTCAAGAGATGAAAGGTAGATTACTGTCCCATAGAAAAAGTCAAATCCTGGTTCTTGTATGTATATCACTTTGCATATTTGTATGTTAAGTGGATTGACACTACATCACACGATGAAAGGACTGAATAAAGGATTGACTTAATCTTTTCTCTGTCTCTGTGAAGATCTGACTGTAGGCCGTCTACCTCCCTTCCCCTGGGAACCTGGTGACATGAAACATTTGCTTGAGAGTATTGCTTTTAGGAAAAGAATGGCTGATCTTAGGATGTATCTTTTCAAAATATGGTTTTCGTAACCTTTCTGTCCTGAAACAGAAAAGACTTTCCTTCAACTGGATGGGTATCGCAATGTACTGACATGAAGTTCTAGCTCTAGTGGGCACAGAAAGACCCCCGAGATTAACTTCCCACACTCATCCCTCTGAGAACTCCTGAGGATGACAACTGTGCCTGGCCCCGCCTTACCCCTGGATGTGCACTTTGAAATCTCTGCATGACATTGGACTGTGTTCAAAAGATGAACAAGTGACCGCTATTTGGTGTTGTGACCACGGAAACTCTCCAGACTTTCAAATTCATACACTTCTTCAAATAGAGGTGGCTAAGAATAGCATCCTGGGATTCGTTATCATTTGTGAATCCTTTAGGTTACAACTGTTGGCAAAATGGCAGGGGTGATGTTCACTTGCCAAATGAATGTAGAAGGATGCTAACTGCTTATGTTCAGCATGACAAAATGTGCTGATCATCTGCCTCACTAAACCATACTTCTTGAACGATTTCATTACTGAGTCAAGAGTTGTAGGTTTAGAAATACTGTAACTGATAATGTAATTGAAAATAGAATAACTTCAGATCGCATTGGTAACCATTCGCAAAATAGCTGTTGTTGAAACCGAACTGTTACTGTTCGAAAACAAAAATTTGCAGCATTGAAAGACTTATGGAAGTAGAAAGTAGCTTCCACAGCCCTGCTGGGCAATAGAGTTTTAAACTGGTGAACTGATGGACTATTACTGATGGGTATGGTAGTACTGATTTTGGTACTTACACAGGCAGATTGTTACGTGATTGGATTGGTGCCCTGGGGCGGTGGAGTCTGCACTCTAGCGCAGGCTTGCACCTGCACAGTGATAAATATGTTATGAGATTGCAGAGCAAAGCTCAGAATGAATTATTGTATGTACAAGTTCATAAAAACATGGTAAGAATACACATATGGTAAAATCTTACCCCCACCAATTCTCCTCCCTCCTCACCCCGTCTGAAGGCATTGAAAGTGCGATTTAGGATGGCGGAGATAAAAGAAACATTCATGGGGAGCCCTGCATTGCCCGAACTCCTGATTCTCTTCCATGACTGTACGTGTTTTCGTCAAAGAAATAATATTTTGAAGAGAACTTTGGAATTGAGAAGGTGTCTTGCAACGTTGTCTGAGCAATATTACCTACTCCAAAGTCATAAAGATAACCTCCCCAAAGTCTTCTGGAAGACTGTACCTTTAGCTTTCACATTAACGTCTGTGATCTAACTTGCATATTTTGTACTTTTGTGAAATAGAAGTCAAGGTTCATCACATTTTTGTCCCAAAGGGGTGTCTCAGTGTATTAGAGTTCTCCAGAGAGAACCAATCAGATATATGGGAAGTGATTTATTAGGGGGAATTAGCTCACAAAATCCAGGAGAGGTGGAAAATTCCCACCATAGGGAGGTCTGCAAGCTGAAGACCAAAGAAACCCATAGCATGGCTCATTCTGAAAGCAGCCCCCAGTTTGAAACCTAAAGTCTGAGAGCCTCTCAGGAGTCTTGTGATCCAAGACTCCCAGAGTCCAAAGCTGAAGAACCTGGAATCTGATGTCTAAGGGCAGAAGGAAAAAAGGCATCCGTCTCCAGAAGGGAGAGAGAAGAGAGAGCAGGGAATTCTCCTTTCTTCTACCTGTTAGTCCCAGCCAATCCCCCAGTCCACTGAATGGTGCCCACCCATATTGAGGGGCTTCTCTCAGTCCACTGCCTCACAGGCCAGTCTCCTCTAGAAACAGCCTAACAGAAACACCCAGAGACAATGTTTCACCAGGCATCTAGGCATTCCTCAAACCAGTCAAGTTCACACCTAGTCATCACACCCAGGAATCACAGCACTGTCTTTTTTTTTTTTTGAGAGTCTCCCGCTGTTGCCCAGGCTGGAGTGCAGTGGCACAATCTTGGCTCACTGCAATCTCTGCCTCCTGGGTTCAAGCAATTCTCCTGCCTCAGCCTCCCAGGTAGGTGGGACTGCAGGCATGCACCACCACCCCTAGCTAATTTTTTTGTATTTTTAGAAGAGATGGGTTTTCACCATGTTGGCCTGGCTGGTCTTGATCTCCTGACCTTGTGATCCACCCTCCTTGGCCTCCCAAAGTGCTGGGATTACAGGCATGAGCCACTGCGCCTGGCCTAGGCTGGATAATTCTATGCTGCAGGGCAGTCCCATGCACTGGAGCAGGGTCAGCAACATCCCTGGCTTCTCACCCACCAGAGGCTGGCAGCATCCTCTCACCTCCCAGTGGTGAAAAACTGATAAGTTACTCTTCAAAAACAAGATCATTTGGAAACACCATCTGTTTCCAGGCATTGCCAAATATTTCCTTAAGGCAAAATAATTCCTAGCATCACTGTGCCCTTGACAAGTCAAGTAGAAGAATTCTCATACAATGTTTTTAGTTTTTTTCTCTTTATTTCTTACGGATAAAATGCAACATACATATTCTACTTAACAATGAAAGCTGATGGAACAGAAGAATCAACATTAACTTTTGAGATGGGTAAAGACATAAAACATTGGTGTTTTCTAGTGTCATGATTTGTCAATCAAATTCATTTTAGAAAATAGTTGGTAAATGCCTGACAAAAAAATTTAAGGTGTATGTAAGTGTGTAAAACTGTTACAAATGCTTGAAAACAAACATTTTAATTCCATGTCATATTATTTTTATTTATGGAAAACAGTTAAAAACTGCCTGTCAGAGAAACTATTTAATCCCTTAACATAAAGTCTTTTAAGGCAAATAAATGTTTATGAAGAACAGTTAAAATATGCTCTCTAGGAAGAAGGCACATTTTAACTCATGTGACCTTTCAGTCAAGTGAAATACGTGGACAACAGATGAAAATGCCTGAAAGGAAAGATGGACATTAATTCCTACTCCTGAACACTTGCATCTGCACATGGTTAGAAACACAAGACCCTGACCAGGGCACAGGAATTCTCTCAGCATATACCCACACAGATCACACTTACAGAGTAGTTCTGGTTTTAAAGCTTTGCTGAAAATATTTTGCATCATTAAATGTATATTATTAAACACATATTGAAAGCTAACTGAAGTGATTTAAATAACAAGATTCAGGCACAGTTTGTAACAACAATGGTTAAAATCCACTCATTTTTTTCCCTATGAAAGGCAAGTGAGGTAGTTTATACTGTATAGACGTTGTAAATAATTGATAATCCAGTTAAAGATCATTGACTCCAAGAATCATATTCCCAAGTGAGCTGCTTAACACAGGGATCTTCTTTTGCAGGATGGAGGGAAGAAATGAATCAACTCTAGGGTTTTTTTCCGACTAAGTGGTCCTAAAATGTTAGTTCCCTCTAGTGCTTTCTCCTGGAGGACATTGTTTTCCCAAGCATATACCAAGAGCACTAGGAATGGGTGGAGATGTGAAGCTCTTAGGGATAGCACATAGAAGCCCAGTATCTGCTCTTCTTCTGCTTGCAAGGATATGATTTGTTTATATGAATTCATCAAACTTTTTAAAAACAAATCTTGATAAGGCAAGAATTCTTTCAATACTTAGATGACAGGCATCTCTGCATTTTAACTGTAGGGATTTGTTTATTCTTAAGAATAAAATTGGTCAAAAAAACCTCTTTATCCACACAAATATTGGTCTGTGTATCTATTAAAAATTCTTCTCTAATCAATTAGCCCTCTGATTAAGAATAAAAGTTATATTCAATGATACTAGTATTGACATGGCCTTCCATCCATATATATATATATATATATATATATATATATGTTGAATATCCTTGAATAAACTAGAGCAATTACAGTTATTGACTCAGCTAAGTCTCTGCCATTTAAAACCACATGAAAGTGGATAAGAAATTGTATTTTACTTGTTATCTATTAGGCATTTATTTGAAACTGGTGACAGAGCTGAAGTAAATCTTAAAACCTGCAGAATTTACCCATAGGTTCTAATGTGTTTCAGTCAAAAGAAATAAAAATTCTCAAATAAAAAATTAAATGAACAGATTTGTGAATTTTCTACATAAAAACAACAGAATTGAACTACTTGAATGAGAGGAAATACACTGAGAAATATTACTCAGTTTTCACATATAACGCAGAAACCTAAGGTAGCTATTTGAATAATTTCTTCCATATGTGGTCATAAATTACTGCCATTTTATGTCTTGGGATCCAGCAATTACATAAAGAAAAATGTTTATCCTTGTTGTCTGAATTGCAAAAATGATGAAGCATTTTTTTCAGACTCTAGAAATTCATTATGTAAAGTCACATGCCACGAATTACACATACATTAATAATGAATAAAATGTAGGAATAAATATAAATTTATATAGAAGGCATGTTTCCTTTTAGTGGGTTTTCAGGCAAAGGAAATGAAAATTCTCAAATGAACAAATCAAATGAATGAATCTTGTGTTTTCTATAAAAATATAACAGAATCCCAAATGTCAGAAATGTTATCTACATGTTTATATAAGCAATGTTTTGCATAGACATCAAGGTACATCATATAAAAGATTTATTCTACAAATGGGCTTAAAATATTATCATGTTTTGATATTTCTTCTACAAATAGGTTTAAAATACCATCATGTTTTGCTAAGTAGACAAAAAGATGTTTCCTGCATTTGTGAGCAACTTTGTCTACTGCTTGAATTATAAGAGAGAGTCGTTTGGACCTCATTAAATCCAATATAATTCATCAAAATCTCAACGTGTAGATGCCAAACTGAAGCATACGTCTGGGGTACATGAGAACTCTGCTCCCTTTCCAGCTAGCCCAAGAAGGGCTATACCCACAGTCCCAAGCAGAAAGGCAGAGTTGTCCAATCCCTCAGCACGTTTTAGATTTGCTCCGAGTTAGAAATGTGGAGACTATGTGTTCTGGCCAATTGCAGGTCTGGAAAATGGCTCTGCAGGCTCTTGATAGCGAGTGTTCATCTTACCAGACATGCACCTGATTTTAAGCCTCAGGCTAATCCACAGGACTCGGCCATGCCTGTGACTAACAAACAAAAGCACAATCTGCTTTTATAGTTTAAAAACCCTGGACATAACAGTATTTTTCCGCATTTTTGGATAAAGCAATTCTGCATTTTTAAACTGGGGCTGCAAAAGTGACTGAGTATAGTTGTGAAATATAACAAATGGTATGTTTGATGAGAAAAGGAAGTCTATGCCTGTTACTTGGAAAGATACTGAGCACCACAACCATAATGAGAAAATACAGGCTCTGTGAATGTTAACTACAAATAAGGTTAGGGAAGCATAAGACACCCTTTGTCAAACTAAGCTTCACTAGGAGGACCTGTGCTCACAGAAGAATATGCGTTAAAAGTATCAGTTTTCCACAGTCGATGACAGAGAAAAGTTCATTTGCACCAGAAAGCTGATAGTCACAACACACAGTCTGCTGTGCATAACAATACAGTTTTCTTTAGATGAAGTTCTTCCTCCTCCAATTCAGAAGTGAGTCAGAGCATAAATATTGTATGTTTCACTTCAGAAACTGATTCTCTTTGGAAAGCAGATCAGGATGATTTCGCAGGGTAGAAATGAAGGCTATTTCTGGCATTCTCACTCAAAAAGTCAATATATGTACATTAAGTATAATAAAGGGTCTCTTTCCCCTCTTCCGTTTGGCAGCATTGGCAACAGAACGAACTGTTGCTTATCCCCAGGTCTAGGGCCAAGTTCATTTCTGCTAGGAAGTTGAAATACTAGAAGTAATTAGAGTTCCATATTCTAAATTGGTCTTTCTTCTGGAAGGACCACATCATCTTTCCTTTACTTTTATTAAAAAAAAAAAGTCACGAGAAAGCTTCAGTTGAACTGGTGAACCAGCGCCTCTTCCGTAGTTCATGCATAGACAATGCCCACTGCTGAGGGCCAGAAATACTGAGAAGGCCGTAGGAACAAACATGTCAACGAGTGTTGTTTTTCCCTACCAAAATGTAGGATCTTTTTGGCATATAATGCATGATAGCAGCTATTTTGAGGGTATTTTAAGAACTTTGTTGGGGTTTAATCACCCATTCTGCTTGAGGATTTATATGATATACATCCAATATATAAGCCTCTGGATCCAAGCAATGCTCTCCTAAAAGAAAGAGAAAGATCAAAGAATTAGTGTACGTGTATGTACACATAAGTGTATGTCTTCTCCCTCTCTCCCTCCCTTTTATTTTTCTTTCTTTAAGACTATGAAGTATCGGTACTTCAAACAAGTCTCGTGAAATTGTGGAAGAAAGCAGACATACCACCACAGGCAAATTGTTCCCTCGCTTCACGGCATCAATTAGAAAAATACGGCAAGGGCTGGGTGTGTGGCTTAGGCTTGTAACCCCAGCACTTTTGGAAGCTGAAGTGGGCAGATCACTTGAGGGAGGCCAGCCTGGCCAACATGGTGAAACCCGGTGTCTACTAAAAATGCAAAAATTAGCCAGGCATGGTGGCAGGCACGTGTTATCCCAGCTACTTGGGAGGCTGAGGCAGGAGAATCACTTGATCCTGGGAAATGAGGTTGCAGTGAGCCAAGATCATGCCACTGTACTCCAGCCTGGGCAACAGAGTGAGACACTGTCTCAAAAAAAAAAAAAAAAAAAAAAAAAGTAAAGCAAAACAAAGAAAAATATAACAAGAACTTGTTTCAAGTATAAACTCATAATTTACATGCTAATACATGTCCTCTAATGATTTTATTAGGTACTTGACCAGAGCTTGGGATGATTCAAGTTCATTTTGGGAATGGTCATTTTGTTTCTTTACTATGGTGTAAAGCCCATAGGCAGGAAATCCAAAAACCGTAACAACTAAAAGATCATTCCCTGGGGCCAATATATTTGAAAGCCTTTATGTGCAGTGCGCTTCATATGTGTGCTGAAGTCTCAAACAAAAGTACCAAGAGCTGCCTGTGTGCGTGGTTGCTTGATGCATTCACTTATCAAATATTTAAGTTATTATGTGCCAGGCACTATTCCAGGGGCTGGGGTTACAGCCATGTAGCAGTTTAAAACATTCTAACAGCAGCACAAGGCAGCAAACAAACAAATATATAGTATCAAGTAAGTCCACTGGTGGTAAGAACCTGAGACAAAGACCAAGCATGGAAGGCATGTTCGGGAGGGTGTGGGGAAGGAGGGTCTCGCCCAGAAGGTGATTTATTGGCAAAGGCCTGGCGGAGGCGAAGGAGTGAGAAATGAGGCTGTCTGGAGGGAGAGCATCTGCAGAAAAGTCAGAACAAATGCGGAGCCCCCATGTCCAAACCTGCCGGGTGATTGGATTGACAGGTTCACTGTTTCAAGGGACACCTGGGATAGAAACTTCAGGGGCATCCATCTACAGGAGTATTTTTAACGCGGTGAGATGGATTGAGCTCGCCAAGGAGGGTAAATGCAAATAATGAGAGTTCCAAGGACTGAACCCCATGGCTCTCCAACTTTGAGAGCCTGAGAGGACAAGAAGTAAGGGGCATGGGGACTCCAGCAGAGCAGCCAGGAAAAGTGGGCAGAAAGTCAGAAGCTTAGTGTGTCCTTGAAGTCAGGTGAAGAAAGTGTTGTTCAAAGGAGGGAAAGATCAACTCGGGCAGTTCTAAAAACGGACGAGCTGTCTGGTGGCCATGACAAGAGGGTGATTCTGGCGAAGTGCTGAGGGGCAGAGCGTGCCTGGAGTGGCTTCGAGAGAAAACAAGGAGGAAGAAATTGGAGTGTAGACACCGATTCAAGAAGTTTTTGCCGTAAAGTGGAACAGAGAAATGGGAGTGGACTTAAAGGGGGTCAAGAAAGAATTTTGTAAAGATGAGAGAAACTGCTGATTTTTGAAATGCAGATGGAAAACGCTGCCGTTGGGAGGGAAAGGCTGATGGTGTGGGAGAGTGGAGGGTGCTGGCAGGGCAAGGCGCTGCCCTCAGCAGGAGCACGAGCGCGCACGGGGCTGTGAGGTATTCACAGGCCAAGGGGGGAAGTTTTGTTGATTCTTCCCCTGTTCCCCCAGGGACACAGAATGAATTTGGGAGGAGAGCGAAAATAGGGAAGTTAATCAGAACGGTGTCATGTTTCTGAAAGTTCTTAGAGTACTGTCTGCTTTGTTTTGCACTGAGTCTTCAGAGAGACTTTTCAACTTTAAGTCACACTGAAAAGACCCAAGCCACCTAGGCGTGATGGCTCACACCTGTAATCCCAGCATTTGGGAGGCTGAGGCAGGCGGATTACTTGAGGTCACAGTTTGAGACCACCCTGGCCAACAAGGTGAAACCTCGTCTCTACTAAAAATAAAAAAATTGGCCGGGTATGGTGGCAGGCATCTATAAGCCCAGCTACAAGGGAGGCTGAGGCAGGAGAATTGCTTGAACCTGGGAGGTGGAGGTTGTAGTGGCCGAGATCTCACCACTGCACTCCAGCCTGGGTGACAGAGCAAGATTCCATCTCAAAAAAAAAAAAAAGACCCAAGTCTACTCCAGATCAACACTATTGACACTAAAATAGTCTCATTTAAATTTTGAAAATATTTTAGAAAAGTTGTGCAACTTTTCTTACATGAGATAAAAATATCGGAAGCCTAATGATTTTTAGTTTTTATCAGAGAAATTTATAAAATATACCTTTATGATGATAGCAACATATTTCTTTTAGAGTAATCAGAGAAGTTAGCAGTAGAAATTATTAAAGAACACTTACCTATATTTCCTCCAATTTCATATAACCTTTGGTTCTGAATCTTAATACATTCTGATGAACCATGACTGAAAAAAATGAGAAAATAATTTAATACTCTTTCCTAATCTAAGAATGCATGTTAAACAACTAGGCAACAAATAATTCATTCTGCCTTCATGAAATATAGCCCACAAAACTATTATGACAGAAGTTATGATAAGAACACTTGTTTTTCTGTCTGATACAGACAAGAAGCTGAGGCCCAGAGAGGACAGGCCTGCTCCCCACCAGGATGGGAAGCCACCGTGCTGCACCACATACAGCCCATTTAGGCCACAGCTGCCAGCTCCATTTTAGGGTAGTTACTGTTACTGACACATCAAGGCTGGCCACGGAGCAGCTGCATGTTTAATACTGCCTTGTCGTTGGCCACATTACTCTCAATCCAAAAGAAGTCAGGTTTCATTTCTGCATTTGCCAAAAAATTAAATGGAATTCTCAGCCCAAGTCACATTTCTCAGTTTGACTCATGCTTTGCAAGTCTAAGACTGACTATATGGCAAGTCTCTGCCCCTTAATAAAAGCAAGTAATGGCTGGGGTGAGGTGGCTCGTGCCTGTAATCCCAGCACTTTGGGAGGCTGAGGTGGGTGGATCACCTGAGGTCAGGAGTTTGAGACCAGCCTAGCTAACATGGCGAAATCTCATCTCTACTAAAAATACAAAAAATTAGCCGGGTGTGGTGGCACATGCCTGTAGTTCCAGCTATCTGGGAGGCTGAGGCAGGAGAATTGCTTGAACCTGGGAGGGGGAAGTTGCAGTGGGCAGAGATTGCACCTCTACACTCCTGGACGACAGAGTAAAACTCTGTCTCGAAAATAAAATGAAATAAAATAAAATAAAAATAAGTCACAAGAAACTATTGCCCAATTTAATTTTTCCACCCTAGACTAGAATGCTGGGTTAGAAGGGTCTGACGGACCATCACTGACGTCCATCCCAATCTAGGAGTGACCTTCAGCTTGGTTACTTCAAATGACTGTCCTGGCCTCTCCACTGTGAGGAAGATGCATGTGTGCCCTCTTTTTTTTTGTTTGTTTAATTGAACTTTCATTTGAGAGGCTGTAGATTCACGAGTAGTTGTAAGAAATAATACATGCGGATCCTGTGCACCCTATACGGGTTTCTCTCAATAGTAACATCTCACAGAACTCTAGTGCGGTATCATGACCAGAATGTAGACACCGATAGGGAAGATGCAGAACATTTCCAGTCCCACAGCGAACCTCCTGTTGTCCCTTTATTCACATTCACTCCGTCTCCCCATCCTACCCTAGCCATGTCCCTTACCCCAGCAACACTACTCTATTCTATGTTTCTATACATTTGTCATTTCATAAAGGTTAAACAAATGGAAACATATAGTATGAAACAGTTTTGTATTGGCTTTTTCTCCCACTTGGCATAAATCCCTAGAGATCCACCTGGGTTGCTGCACCTTTTTTTTTTTTCCTTTTTGAGACAGTCTTGCTCTGTTGCCAGGCTGGAGTGCAGTGGTGCAGATCTTGGCTCACTGCAACCTCTGACTCCATGGCTTAAGTGACTCTCCTGTCTCAGCCTCCTGAGTAGTGGGGATTAAGGCACGCGCCACCATGCCCAGCTAATTTTTGTATTTTTAGTAGAGACGGGGTTTCACCATGTTGGCCAGGATGGTCTCGATCTCCTGACCTCAGGTGATCTGCCCTCCCAAAGTGCTGCAATTACAGGTGTGAGCTGCCATGCCCGGCTTGTTGCTACACTTTTAATGCTGAGTAGTATTCCATGGTATAGATTAACCAGTTTCTTTAGTCATTTACCTGTTCAAGGACACCAAGGTTTCTTTTTCCTTCCAGTTTTTGACTGTATAAATAAAGAGCTATAAGCATTTGTGTACAGGTTTTTGTGTGAACATCGTCTTCATTTCTTCAGGATAAATGCCCAGGAGTGTGAATGCTGGGTCACATAGCAGTTGGAGATTTAGTTTTTTAAGAAACTGCCAAACTATTTTATGGAGTGACTGCACTATCGACATTCCCATGAGAAATGCATGAGCGATCCCGTTTCTCTGTATCTTTGGCAGTATTTTTTAGTTTAGCCATTCTCATAGGTGTGTAGTAATATGTAACTGTGGTTTTAATTAGCATTTCCATAAAGGCCAATGTTGAACATCTTTCCATGGGCATATTTGCAATTGTTTATCTCTCTGATGAAACGTAATCTCTATCTCTTTGGTAAAATGTCTGTTCATGTCTTTTGTCCACTTTCAAATTGGATTTTTTTTTGAGTGTTTTCTTTAGATATTCTAGATACTGGTCCTTTGCAAATATTTTAGCCCAGTCCTTAGTTTCTCTTTTCATCCTATTCACAGGGTCTTTTACAGTGTAAGTTTTCCGTTTTGATGAGGTCTAATTTATCAATTTTACTTCTTATAGGTCACACTTTTGATGTCAAGTTCTAAGAACTCTTTAGTTTTAGATCACTAAGATTTTCTCCTACATTATTTTCTAAGGGGTTTATAGTTTTACACTACACAACTAAGTCTGTGATCTAGTTTGAGTTAATTTTTGAATAGGTGTGAGGTTTGGATCGAGGTTTATTTATTTTTGCCTATGGACACTATGGACATCCATTGCCACAACACCATTTACTGAAAATGCTTTCTCCATCGAATTGCATTTGTACTTTTCTCAAAATCAGTTGCTAGAATAGTCAAATTCATAGAGACAGAAAGGAGAAGAATGGTTACCAGTGGCCAAAGACAGGGAGAATAGGTATAGTTTCAGTGTGGGATGAGAAAGACATTCTTGGTATGAATCATCATGATGGTTATACAACAATGTGAATGTACTTAGTGCCACTGAACTGTTCCCTTGAAATGGTTAAAACACACTTTTAAAAATCTTTCTTGAGATGGAGTCTCGCTCTGTTGCCCAGGCTGCAGGGCAATGGCACAATCTCAGCTCCCTGCAACCTCCACCTCCTGGGTTCAAGCAATTCTCCTGCCTCAGCCTCTGGGATAGCTGGGACTAGAGGTGTACGCCAGCACACCTGGATAATTTTTTGTATTTTAATAGAGACAGGGTTTCACCATTTTGTCCAGGCTGGTCTCGAACTCCTGAGCTCAGGCAATCCACTCACCTCGGCCTCCCAAAGTGCTAGGATTACAGGTGTGAGCCACCGCGCCTGGTCTAAAACATACTTTTATGTTATGTATAGTTTATAATAAAAATCTTTTTTAAATCAGATGGACATATTTGGTGGGTCAGTTTCTGGGTTCTCTGTTCCATTGATCCAAGTGTCTATCCCTCCACCGATACCATACTATCTTGATCACGCTAGCTTTTATATAGTTGGCCTTGATATCTAGTAAAGTGATTCTTCCTGCTTTATTCTTCTTTTTCAAGATGATTTTAGTTATCCTAGGGCCTGTGCTTTTCCAGATATACTTTTAGAATAAGCTTGTGCATGTTTATAAAGTATCTTGCTGGGATTTTGACAGGAATTGCATTAAACCCATAGATCAATTTGTGAAGAATTGACATCTTTACTGTGTTGTCTTCCAATCCATGAAAATGATTATGTCTCTCCATTTCTTTAGGTCTTCTTTACTTTCTTTCACCAGCATTTTGTAATTTTCAGCACACAGATCCTATAAAAGTTTACTTAGGTTTATACTGAAGTATTTATTTTGGAGTGACTGTGAAGGGTATTGTGTTTTTACTTCTGGTTTTAAATTTGGTTTCCACATGTTCCAAGGTGATTGACTTTTGTGTGTTAATCTTGTATCCTGTGATCTTACTGAACTAACTTGTTAGTTCTAGGTCTTTTTAACATTTTTATTTTAAGAAATTTTGTATGTAGACAATTAGGTTATCTGCAAATAGAGACAGTTTTCTTTCTTCCTTTATAATCTGTATGCCTCTTATTTCTTCTCTTTGCCTTACTACAGTGACTTAATCTGCCAGTAGTATGTTGAATGAGGCTGATGAAAGTGGACATCCTCATTCTTGCTCTTAGAGTGAAAGCATTTAATCCTTCATTGTTAACCATGATGTTAGCTGTAGGTTTTGTAGGTAATTTTTATCAAGTTGAGTAAGTTCTCCTCTTTTCCTAGTTTTCTGAGAGTTTTTATCATGACTTGGTGTTGGATTTTGTCAAAGGCTTTTTTCTGTATCAATTGAGATGACTGTATGATTTTCCTGTTGATATGGCTAATTACACTGATTGATTCTTTTAATGTTAAGTCACCCTTGGATGCCCGAAAAAAATCCCGGTTGGTTTATGATGTTTAATTCTTTTAATAAATGCTGTTGGATTTGCTATTTTGATGATAATTTTTAAATTTTGCATTTATGAGAGATATTGGTCTGTAGGGCTTTTGTTTGTTTTTTTATAATATCTTTGAGGGTTTTTTTTTCTTGGTATCAGGGTATTAATACAAGCTTCATAAAATGAGTCAGGGAGTGTTTTTCCCTATTCCATTTTCTGGAAAAGATTGTTCTAGATTAGTGTTAATTCTTTAAATGTTTGCTAGAATTCTCCAGTGAAACCATCTGGGCTTGGAGAGCTTTTAAAAACTTTAAAATTATAGAGTCAATTTCTTTAATGGCTATAGCACTATCTGGCTAGTTAATTTCATTTTGGTAATTAGTAGTTTTTGAGGAATTGGTCCATTCTAAGTTTTTGAATTTATGAGCTATAAAGTTGTTACAGTAATCCTTTTGATCCCTTTAATGGAAGTACTATACTAGTGATATCTCATTTTATTTTTGATATTCTTGATTTGTGACATCTCTTTTTATCTTTGTTAGTCTTCCTAGGAGTTTATCAATTTTATTGCTTTTTAAAATAACCAATTTTTTGTTTCACTGATCTTCTTTATCATTTTCCTGTTTTAAATTTCATTTATTTCTGCTTATCTTTATTAATTTGTCCTTCTGCTTGCTTTAGGATTATTTTGCTCTTATTTTGTAGTTTTTAGAGGTAGGAACCTGAAGAGTTGATTTGAGAGCTTTCATTTCTATCATAAGCATTTATTGCTAAAACTTT